ATCGTTAACTCCAATAGGTCTGGAACCATGACTGGTAGTTCGGGGATGAAGGTACAAATCCAACCTAAAAGAGATTGAACCTGCCCTAATAATAGGCCTCTACTTTATTCTTCTCGTATTCATGTGCGCTTTCTGACTAACATACAATTATTAGGGTTACCCTAAACCTGTTTATTTATGTTGGTTGAATATTAATGCACAAATAAACTATTATTGGCGATCACTTGAATTATAATCAAATTAACCCTAAACAAGATTATTAATTATCTTATTAAGCGTGATTACAAGTACCAATTCCCTTTAAACATGCATAAAAGGCGTGATCAAGCAATAACAATAAATATAATAATAGTAATCACAACAATTATATAATAATAATAATAATAATAATAATAATAATAATAATAATAATAATGTTAAAGCATAATAATAGCAAGATCCTAGGCATGATACTAATAAGATTAATAACAAACCTTAGCATGTTACTAAGCATTGAAAATCAAATATTTAGCCCTAACATGCTATATTAGGAAGAGAAAATAGAAGGCATCATACTTTTAATCACACTTGATATTATATTCTTTACCCTAAACATGATACTAAGAATTTATTGTTGTCACCCTAAACATCAAATTAAGAAAAACATCCTAACGTGATACTAGGAATCATAATAACAATCTAAGCATGATTTCTACATCATAATATCAATTAAACAATTAAAGCACTTACTTGGATGCCTCGTACCTCTTTCTAATAACAAAATACACACATTAGTAACTTTAAGGAAAATAATAAAACAACAATCAAATTAAATAATAATTGAAAAAGAGATTTGAGACCAAACCCTCAGAAATTAAAACCTTTCACCTCTAGGACGAAGGCAACTTCGAACTTTGCTAGGTGTATCTAGGTCTTGCGAGTGCGGAATTTTGTTTGAGAAAAGGTTGGTTTAGAAAAAAGAGAGAGAGAAAGCTTTAGCTTTGAGAGAAAAAACAATTAGAGAACTAAGGAATTGATGATTGTAGATGAGAATTGGTGATTTAAAACGGAGTTTTTAGGAGGCTATTTATAGAGAAAATCAGCCAAAAAGATAGAAAATCGAACCAGAGTTCTGACGTGAAAAAACGGAGTTAGCGCCAGACGCTGACATTAGCGCCAGGCGCTAATGCTGGCGTTAGGCGCTAATCAGGTTTTTTACACGTTTTCTAAAACCAGATAGAATTTAACCGTACAGGAGGATAAAATCGTATTTTCCTCAAAAACACTCTTTTATTCTGATTAAAACTCTAAAATGTCAACAAAAGTCAATTTATCAATGCTAATTGAATTAGAAATGAAAATAACCTTCTAGATGAATCTAGAAGACTAAAACCATTCCTAATTGCATTAGGAATAATAAATCCATATTTGGCTCTCCCCTAGATCATTGGGCCGCATATAATGTTCAAACTGAGCTCAGTTTAGTAATTTGGCCATAACTTCCTCAATATTCATCGGAATTGGGCTTATAATATATCGTTGGAAAGCTCTTTTCAAGCCCTGTCCAACTACAGCATTATTGGACCCATATCGTGGACCAAACTAAACTTGAATGCACGTTTTTCAAAAATAGGGTAAGAAAAGAAATATTTTCAAAAATAGAAAGAAGAGATATTTTAATAAAAACATCCTCATTACTAGACTTTTCACACTTTCGCTTTGTTCTATGATCGAATGACGTGAAAGGTATTCATCACTGGGTTTGGTTTTGGGGAGACACATTTGGGTGTCTATAGGATCCTACGGTTTATATTGTTTCTTTTTCTTCTGGGACGGCTGATTAGAGTCATTACCCGCCTAGATCTCTTTTCTCTTTTTGCTCTCTTCAGCTTTGGGATCCGGCTAAGCAGGCCGACTCTCCTTTTGTTTGTCAGACTTTTTAAGTTCTGACTAGTTACTAGGCGAGTAGAGGATGGTCTCTTGTATATAGGCTTCCGCCTCCATCAACGCCTCTTGTAGAGTGAAGACTCTCTTATGGACGAGGTCAAACTTAAAAGTTGACCTGTCCTTCAGACCCTTGAAGAAGTCTGTTAGGAAACTTCGTCAAATAGTCCTTGAGTCTGGATTCTCACCAGATTGAACCGCCTAACGTTTGAGCGAAGTCCTTCTCAATCTTTCCCTGCTGGATGGTGCTCAGATCGAGACTTGTTTTCTTAGCAGGGATGTTTATTGGGACTTGTTTTCTTAGTAGGGATGTTTATTAAGAAGTTGAAAGCAAACAGTACAAGAAGGCTAGCCCTCTTGAATCTATCAATACATCCGGCCGACAGTTTGCCGAACCATTGTTGGAAAATGCCCTTCAATATAGTCGTGAAACACCTGTACCAGGAAGCATCATCGAACCCCTGTAAGTACATGAGGTGGTCGTGGTACCATCGTAGACACCAACCAAAACATTATTCTTAACCTTGGATAGTTGTTCCACTTCGGTTATCTCCCTGGTGAATGCAGAGGGTTGTTCACCAAGTTTGAGCAGATGGAGCTGCAAGTCATGGGGCTGGACGTTGTATGCCACCTGACCTCCGAATAGGGTCAGTTACATGTAAGGTGGGGCATATTGTCTGTATGGCATCTAAGGCACATACGGGGCTGATCCAATCATACGAGGGCTAGTATGGATGGTCTTGTCGTCTGAGGGACCAATGAATTCTAACTCAATGTATTGACATAACTGTCTAAACATTTTAGTAGGTGATTCACTAGCTCTTAATGCAGTTTTGACCTCTTCATCTATCCCATCGTACCAGTCTTCTATACAGCCATAGAAACTATGTTTGATGTTATTTAAGAAATTTTCAGAAGTCCATTCAGTGTTTAAATTAAGTACACTACTCATACTCCTTTTCCACTGATCTATAACATCTTATCTATCTCTTACACCATCTAATTTCAGCATATAACCAGTTTGACTTATAAGTTCAAGAGTCACTTCTTCTTGTTTAGGTAAATGACTAGGCATAACCTTGACACTAAACCAGGTAGTTCCCTGGTATGAATCTTGGTTGTGTGCATCTTCCTTCTCCTTGATACCTAGGTCTTTGGATCACATTTTATACATTAATGATTTCTTCTCCAACATCATTATTATCCATTACCCTTTTACCTAGTTTGTTTCAATCTTTTGTTGGATAACTTCTATAGGTAGAAAGTCTAGATCATCTAATTTTATCAATCTCATTTGTAGATATAAATTTTCTTCTAAAGAAACATAATTATTCTCCTCTATCTCAGAATCAATTCCTTTTCCAGAAATTAAATTCATAATTTCGTTTAGCTTATTAGAGTCTTCACCTTTATCAAATAAGATTTGCAATTCGTTAATCGTTTTTTCCAGAAGATGAGGGATAATCTTTAGTTTCTCTATACTTTTTTTGGTTACAAGTACGTCTTTTAGGGAGTGATACAGTAAACTTCTCATTTTTATCTAGATTTTGAAAAGGATGTTTATAGGGACAATCTTTTTCCTATTAAGTGATACTTCTTTGTTAAATTGATGTCTAACTTCGTTTGTTAAATCAAGTTGCACTTGTTTAATTTGTTCTTTTAGCTCACTTAAATTTTTATTAATCTTTGATATTGTTGTTTATAGCTTATGTTCACTACTCACGTAACGACAATGTATGCTATTAACTTCTACTTTAAGATCACCAATTTAATCTACGATATAATTAAGAATTGGGCCAAAATTACTAGTATTATCAGGAATATGATAATAATGCTTAAAATCAGGTTTCTTACACTCTGTAAAAGGCCTTGTATTCTCCAGTTTTAATTAATTATTAATTTAATTAACAACTTAATTGGCTGGAATCATAAATGGCCTGTGTCCTCTTTGATCCGTTTTTCCCTCCTTTTACTAGCAAGGGGAGTCATCACATGGACTGATGATCCAACCTTAACTTTTAACAGTATGGTTTTGATACCAATTGAACGCAGCTAGATACCAACGACACAGTGGTTAGGATACCAACAACATCACAACATATACCATCAACAATTCTTGAGCTATACTACTATAAACGTAGGATGGTATGTATATACTACTAAGGATGGTAGTACCTATATATCTAGTTGGTAGCGAAATTCAATAAACAAATAAGGCACACTTTTTTTTGTCAAATTACGAAAATAACCCTAGTTGAGTCCTTTTGGACTATAGTTAATTGAGGCTTAGAATTTCCCGTTACCTCTAATCAAAGTCAAAGTACTCTATTTGATACAAATGAAAGTTTAGTACCTTAATTGATACTTTTTCTGTTTTTTAATACTTGCAACACTTTTTTAAAATGGAAATGTCTCAATACTTGCAACACACCATAAATGGAAAGTTATGTTAGGGAAAAACTATACTATTTCTCTTATTTAAAGCACACGACCCACTAAATTACACTCCTAAATCCTAACAACTACTCACCCCATTATCATACCTTAAATACTATGATAAAATGTGTGTTGTAACAATTTAAAAACGGGTGAAGTATTTTTTACAAAGTTTAGTACTTCGTACCTAATAATGTGTAAGTGTATAACTCATAAAAGGGCCTAAGAGCAAGTTTAGCCCCAAGTCTTAAGACTTGGATGTGACATTATTTTTGGTGGTCCCCATTGAAAATGATGTCATCAAATTCTCGTTAAGACTCAGTAAGACTTACACAAATTTATCACTTTAGCCCTAAGACTTAAATATTTGACATATTATATGTAGAAAAATGTAAAAAAAGAAAAAAGAAAAAAGGGGATAATAAAAATAAAAATAAAGTGGGTGAAGTGAGTCCCAATCTCAAGTCTTAAGTTTCAAACTTGCTTGAGATTTTTGAAGAAAGATGAAAAAAGTTTTAAGTATAAATTTGAAGACTCAAAATGATGATGTCACCCCAAGACTTGGGGCTAAACTTGCAATCTCGTAATATTTTGGCGACAATATTGCAAGTGAATGCAAAAACTGGGGTACATATAAATAATAAACCCTAGCCTCTCTTAAGGTGAAAAATAGTTGCTCACTGCCGAAAACTCAATCCAAAAGCCTCAGACTGTTGAAAGAACAAAAAAAAATGGCGAAATCCCTGAGGTCGAAGAAAGAGAAAAGGCTTCGGGCAATTCGAAGAGAGATTGTTGAACCCTTTTACGAGAAGAAAGATGTTGCCAAACAAGCTGCTCAAGAAGCCGCTTTTTCTGCCCCTAAACTTGCCGTTCGCAACACCAATAACACCTCCTCTAATCTTACCATGGGTATGTTTATTTTAGCTATTTGGGTGTTTTTGTTCTTTTAAATTTGATTTAGTAATTAATTTATTATAGTTATTTAATTTACCAAGTATTTATATGTGTTGAATTTTTAATTGTTTGATTTGGAATACTTGTGAGTAGGAAGGAATGAAATTGATTGGTTATTGTATATGTTTGGTGATAACTCACTGATGAACAATTTGTTTTTCTGAAAAATCTAATGTAATATTGCTGATAAATTTATGAATAAATACTTGACAATTGTCAATTTGATGGGCTGATTGAATTTGGGACGGGAAGAATTCATAGAAGTTTGAAAGCCGATATTAATTTTAATTTTGGAAATTCCAAGACATCCGAAAAAATGGAGTTACAAGATTCCAATGAAGTACGATTGTACTAGACACCTAATTGCGGACCGACGTCTACAATTGTCAGGTTTGTGAACTCTTAAGTATGCGATTGCGGTTCGTGAACTCTTACGTATGCAAGTTGTGACCTATGCAATTGCAAGGCTCAGCAACCATTTTTCTTATGTAGAGGGGCTAAGGAGAACTTGTTCTCGACCTTCTCGTCCGGGTGCAATCTATATGATAGCTTTAGTATAATGATTATGATCCTAGTATACTGTTAAAAGTTAAAAGTACTTTGGACAATAGAGCTGAAATGTAGTGATCTAGGTTTGTTGAGACAACTGTGGTCACCAAATTGGTTAGGAACTAATTAGTACCCGTATTTAATTTAGTGTTAGCTAATCTGTACAAGACAAGCAGATGATTCATTTTAAGGTGCTGATTTCCTTTCCCCTGCGTTGATGCAGTGGCGTCGTTCTTCGTTTTTCATTGATTATTTATGTCTGATCTCTTTCTACTTTTTCTTTCCACTTTATTATTTTGCTTTGATTCTGAAGGATTTTTTGGATGGCTGGATCAAAGAAACATAGACTAGTGTTTTGGTTTTCCTGATGCCTGTCATGCTAAATCTATTAGGACTTTTGGATAGGAGAAATCTTTCTTATTGTCTGTTTTGCGTCTTTGTTCAATTCACTTGTAGTGTATGTTTTGTAGGGAAGGATTGAACAGAAAAGAATCTAATAGAATTATAGAAGGAACTTTAATGACTTTTCCTTGTCTTGTTTAAAAAAATATAGGTAGTATGTGATATCTTTGGAAAGGAATGGAAGTGGGAAGGCCCCTTAATAAACCAAACAAAGGAAAATTTAGTTCCCTCCGTTCCCGTTCTTTTCTATGCATACCTTTCTATATATACTAGATAGATATACTAAACAATTGTAAGAGAATATGCTTTTAAAAGTATGTGTTAGATTCACATCTAATTAATATTTAAATATCGACAATTTTAACAAATTCTGGTAAGTTTCGATGTTGATATTCAAATGAAAAATAACAAAGCCACAATCTCACTAACAATTTTGAATGGCCCTCTGTTGATCATTTGACCTCTAGCAGCCTGCACTGACCTTTCCTAACCCATCTAAAGATCAGGCCTAATTACCATGGATCCTGTTTCAGGACTGTATGCTGGTCTCTGTGGCTGTGTAACATATGATTGTAGGCTGTAGGCAAGAAGGAATGTGAAAATTAATAGTTTTTTTGAATTTGTTTTTGGGTAATGATTGCATCATTGTCTAAGCTGTCACTGGAAAGGTGACCAATGGTTCATATTTGGTTTACGGTCATTTGATCCAAGGTCAGGTTGGGTGGTTAAATTTGGGTCAGGTCTTATTGTAATTTTATCATAGAAAACAAAAATAATTCACATTTGGGATCAGTATAGTTCATTATATTTACTCATTTTTATCCTAACTTGTATGAAATCATTAATATGTTTAAATCATTTTTATCCTAATTTGCTATGTTTTCTCTTACTGGTGATAATTTATGGTTAAGTTTTGATGTTCAAAATATCAATGGTGCAACTATTTAGTAGCAATGATAGTGTTGGGTATGGTTTGGTGTAGGTGGGGATCATAAAATTGATAAGGACTAAATACTGTAACTTTGCTGCTAAATTTGATGTCAATTCATTGACAACTATTTGTTTTTGCTTCTATTGATTTGTTTTCATGTACTTTGAATAAGAATAATACGTGTTCCTAGGTTGTAGAAACAATATTAACTGCCATTATTATTTAGGGTAATATTGGTAAAGACTCTTCTTGAAGTTGTCTTCAGCTGATGATTGAAGGTTTTGTTTCAAATCTGCAATTATTCACAGTTTAGAAGATCCAAGTTAAGCTATGTTTTTGCTAACTCAGCTTTTTTCTACTGCAATATCACCCATTGGTTGCTTGATGCAAATGCATTTGCTGTAAAATTTCATTGATTATAGTATACCATTGTATCGGTGCTGCTTCATGGCCTTTGAACTGATGCTGTTGCATTTAATTGGTAATTAATTGGATGATCAAGTTATTGATATATGGTTATTTCAGATATTGATATGAATAGTCAAGGTACGGGGCTCCTAAAACCTGTTGGTAAGAAGATGAAAAAGAAATTGAAGATTGGTAAAGGGAAGAAACGCGGCAAGGGCAAGATCAGAAAGACGCACATTTAAGAAGTATGTCAATTTTAATGGTTTAATTTTGTTATCAAAACCTAACTCGCTGACCCTCGTTCAAATTACAGTACTGTTTGGTGGAATTCAAAGCCATGTTCTTATTTTATTATGTAGCTAGTTTCTTTGATTTCGTTCTTAGTGATTTCCTCTATCTGTTATGAAAGACTTGAGAACAATTAGGTATAGCTAAAAAAAATGATAATAGTAGTTTGATGCTATGTGAGTTTTGTTTCAAGCAATATTGTGATTGAAAATTTCAAGGCTTTAGTATCGGATAGGTATGTTAATTTTGATTTAAAGACCAATGTAATTTTTTAATTTTGTTTTAACCTTTTTAAGAAAAGGAATAGTTAGGTTTAAGCATTGAGAAGACGTGGATAAGCTCAACCGATGATGAATGAATAGAGCTGAAGATCAATGGTTTTTAAAACCTGCCAGAATGGCATGTATGTACTGTTGTAGCTTGTAAGAAACAATATTGGTCGTTTTACTCGTTTAAAACTTGGTTAAAAATAGAACATCATATTTCTGTTACATGTGAAATGGGTGTTATCTGCTGCCTTAAATTATTAGTTACGTTGTCCTAGTTTCTCCAATACAAGTATACAGGTAGTATGAAATTCATTATAGAGTACTGTTGCCTTAATTTTCCTTTATTTGGCAATATTTAATAATCATTTTAAAGCTATTAAGGAAAATCAGTTTTTTTTTTTTTTTTTTTTTTTTTTTTTTTTTTTTGGAACGGATGGAAAATCAGTTATTGGTTATTAATATTCAGCATGAAATTGTATAATGAGTATCTGATGAGTAGCCAACATGCAATTACTAGCATACAACAAAACAACTAAAGTGTTAACACGATGTTATATGTGAAATTTTTTAGCCCTCTTCTCCAAAATTCAAAATGGGAAGAGCTCATAGAACGAACAAAAGAAAATTGATATAAAGTTATGATCAAGATGCTATGATAATACATGTTGAATAGTATGTAGTGATAACTATTAATAACCAGAGTTGACACGGCTACAATGAAGTCGAACTTCTCCATCATCTTGTGCTTCGCCTAAGATACTCCCAAGCTTTACCATGGATGATGAAAACAGATAAGGAAAGCTTCTATCGTCCTCCTTGGCTAAAGTACCAATATATTCAGAAGTCCTATGATCAGTGTATAATACTTGATCTGTGTATAATAGACCCATGTTGCTCTCAATATTTTTGTAGTACTGATTATCGAATGTGCTTGGTGTTTTGGCATCAAGGTTCACATACTCGGTCCCGTTCTTACATTTCCTTCTCAAATAGTTCAAGTATCTAGGAGCCATGATAGGGTGCTTTCCATCTTTGTTGCAGTTGGCTAGCCGATTTTGAATGGCAGCACATGAACTCCTTCCAATGGTGTGTGCTCCTAAGGATCAATGAAGAAAGTGAGTCCATGCATTAAAAAGAACATATAAAAATAGCCACATTATTTATGGTCCTCTTATATTCTGCTTGCCTTTAAAAGCTCTTCTTATACGAGTTTGACCTCATTAGGAAATGAGGATGAATACATGATGCATTGATGCTTTTTTTAAAACGGCAAGATTATGGTAAATTGAGGAAATTACCTGAAAGCACAACCAAATCAAGCAAGCTCAATCCTTTAGATTGATAAAACTCAATAAGGGAAGTGACATCTTCTCGGCCTTTTGGAAGTTGTTCTGCTTCTTGGGCAATAGAAATTCGCCCATCTTTCCTTCCATATTCATTAGACCAAAATGGACCTTTAACTAAAAGGGTGGCATCTCTAGCAGCAGCAGTAAGAATATCTGCACAAGACACTACTTTGGGGCATTTCTTCTCAAGTGTTGCTTTGATGTCATCAATTACTTCGAAACCTCTCAATGTCTTGCTTGCATGGGCCCTTCTCTCACTTCCCGGATAATCAAGCAAGATTGATGCATCACATCCCTGTATTAGATTTAAATTTCAATCGTTAATATTTTGTTGATGAGAGTACAAGTGTTAATTTCCTCCTCTCAGATACGACTCGTTCAGAACAAAGGGGTATTAAAATCCTATTGAACTCTCAAAACCCTTACTCTCATATTGTAATTTCTAATACTTCCTCCGTTAATGGTTAATTGCAACAAAGGGGTTTTATTTGTGAGATATAAAATATTCCTTTGTTGCAATTAACCATTAAAGGAAGAAGTATTTAAAATCATGTTCCTAGGTAACTTTTTCTTTTGTTATGCCTCAACATAAGGGCATAAACAAAAATGATATCAAACTTATCACCTTTTTATACATTTTTATATAAATTACTAATTTTGCTTTAAAATCAAATGAAACAAACAAGGAAAATAAAAAAGAAAAGTCATACCCGAACAGAGCAATCGTGGAAATGCAACCTTATAAGGCTAGCAGCAATGGTTTCATCCTTCTTATACCACTCCCAAACTTTCTTAGCAATAATTTCTTCAAAATCATTGCAACTATAGTCATAGTAGTCACGATTCAAGTCTTGACAACAAACTGATGAGATCAAACCAAGTGAAATTACAACAAAGAAAGCAGAGAAAAATGAGTGAGAATTCATTTTGGAATTTGATTTTTTTTTTTTGAAACCACTTTGGAATTTGATTTAGTTTTGAATGTTTTATGCTTTTGTCACAAAAGTTACATTATATATTGAGAAAAATGATGCATAATACGTGAGGCGCACATCTCTACCGGCGTACAAACATGGAGACATGTAAGGTAAGACGATTCTACTTATTTCTTGAATCTAATATGATAGATTATATATTATGTTTTTGACCTTTTATGATAAGGAAATCTCGAAATAGGTTGACAATTGAAATAATTGTTGGTAACATTAACTCAATTATTTTCTGTTAGGAAAATTCCTTTAATCTAATTCAATACTAGTAGTTGGGTTCATGAGTATACTAATTTATAACAATTTTTATTTAGGTACAATGGAATTACATAAAACCGAGGGTTTTTAAATCAATTGTCGTGATATATGGACACAAATCACAAGGAAAATTATTTCATTATGCGAATATTATTACCCCTGCATGGTTGCATGACTCCTTGAATCTTCATTTACAAGTAGACATACATTTGACCATGTATATCTTGATTTACATATTAATAAATATTATAAAACTATATATTGAGAGTACGAATTTAAAAATATTTCACAAGATTATGTGCAAGGAATCAATATTGGGGAAGGGCATATTAGTCTTAGTCTATAATTATTGACTTGGGGAATAAGCCAGAGTTTGTTAGGAGGGTTTTTCTATATATATGCCTCATTAGGAGGAATAATGATCATGTTAAATATTATTGAGGATTGTTATTGGGAGAGAGTGAGCCTCTCGAAAGCTCATATCAGGAGAGAATCCACCTCTAGAAAGTGAAATTATCATTCAATTAGTTGTAATTCTCATCTTAATACTATAATTATCCACATCCTTCTGAATTTCTGCCATTATTAGTGTTGTAACCAAGCTAATTCCTAGCAAATGGTATCAGAACAATTATGTCTTGGTAGGTTCAGCCTCTCAAATTTTGTTTTCAGTAAAAATAAAAAAACAAAATGATAATGGAGGTCGTCGCAGCTCGGATTTAGTTACAATCACTTGAGCAATTCCCCGAAACAATGGAGGAACCCACGAAAAAATTGTTGATAACCTTCAAAACAATCTGGAGAAATATATTGATGATATTTTTTCTCCGATTTTCTCTTCTTTGAAATTGTTGTTGAAGGAAATGGAAGAAGAGCTTGAGGAAGAAGAGAACAAGAATATTTAATGGAGGAGGAAGTGCTAGAAGACATCCATGTCGGCGAGGAGTTGAAGCCATCCACCATTTCCATAGGTGAGGGAATTTCCAGATGTCACCGTACCTCCGTTGTTAGAAACTTCTCCGGTGGCGCGATGGTGTAGAAATCAGGTGGACTTATAAGTCCGGATACTTGGTCTAGTGGTGCTATGAAAAATGGATCTTGAATCATTTTGAGTGTTTTACCAGGAGGTTTTAGCAGTGGTGAAGATGGTTTCGCCACCGGAAGAGCTGGAGGCCGAAGTGGCAGAGGTCACGGAGGTGTCGTCGGCGATAGATCGAGGGATGCCTATAATTGGCTTGAAAGGACAACGTCAGGAGTAATGTTTGAGCGGGGTGGTGCTGATGGCAGCGGATCAGGAGGTGGCCCGGGTTTTTACATAGGCAAGACTGGTGGTTGATGCGTGCCATTTATGGCACTTTTAGGCTATGTTTTCTTCATATTTTTATGCCCGTGTTTAGTCTTTTATGTCGTGTTTTTAGGTAATAATGCTTGATTTGCGTGTTAGTTTAAAGAAATGCGTGCTTTTAATGGTTTTCTTATTATTTTATTCATTTCTCGGCTATTTCTCTCGCTTCTCTGTATCTTTGACTTGTTTTGTAGGTATGTCGAGTTCCCCGGGATTTAATAATCAAGGAGGGAACTAAAGTGCATTCAAGGAATTTAACGGAGCCAAGTTAGGGAAGCTAAGCACGCAAGTCAAGCCAATCTAAGCAAGCCCCGCAAGCACGAGTTTAAAGGTGACAATCTCGAGCATCAAGGAAGCAAGCCCGAGCTCCTAGCTGCAGCATTCTGAGCATTCTTGTGCGCAGCACGAGCAGCCACGCTCCCAGCAGCTCGGCCGCACACCTTGTAGCGCAGCAGCACAACCGCGGGCTGGCCGTGGGCGCGGGGTTGCTGCTGCCTCAAAAAAACCGATTCAAACCTAGAACTCTCCGCGGGCAGGCCGTGGGCACCCTGAGGGCGTGGGTTCCAGCCACGGGCGCAGGCTTGGGGGTTTTCTCCACCGTGTGCGCGGGTTTCTTGGTTTTACATGCGATTTTACTTTTTTTCTCCATTTGTTTATGTATTGTACGACCTTCTTTATTCTTGATACATATAATTCTTTAGATTAGAATAGTTTCTCTCTCCTCTAAGGAGGATTATGGTAGATTAGGAGTTCCTCTCTCTAGATTAGGAGTAGTTTTAGAGAGAGAAAGTGAAGGATTTCAATGGTGATTGAGAGATTGAGATACAAGGGTGACAATTGTGTTGAAGATCCTCTCTATTATCAATGAGCATTCTTAACTCTATCTAACCTTATTGCTTTGTTTAATTTCATGTTTGTTTAGTTTAGTTTTGATGCTTGATGCTTGATTAGTGTAGTTGTTCTTGATATATTGTTGATTCTTGATTTCCTTAGTTGGTAGTTGATAGATGATGATTCTTGAATGGTTGTGTTGGCTAGAAATTGGGTGAAACTTGTATGAATGATTAATTGTGATTAATTTGGGAATTGTGTTGATTGATTGTTGAGATTAAAGTGATTAGTGAAGGTTTGCATGTGTGTAATTCGATTAGGCCTTGAGAATTATGCTAGATTGCATTGTAATTGCTAATGACACGAACAATTGATTTAGGAATTGCAATTATCGATTGGTTTTGATTGTGATTCTCTTAGTTTGTTATTCATAGAGAACCCTAGCTTTTCAAA